TTGTAGCCATCTTTTATTTATTTAAGAGTAATTTGAGGGGTGCCTGGGTGGCTCAGTTGGTTAAGCGTCTGACTCTTGATTTTGGCTCAGATTGTGATCTCAGTATCCTGAGATTGAGCCCCCTGTTGGACTCTGCACTTAGCAGAGTTGGCTTGAGATTCTTTCCCTCTCTCTCTCCCTCTCCCTGTGCTCCCCCCCAACCCTGGCTCACGTTTGCTGTCTCTCTAAAATAAATAAAATCTTTAAAAAAATCTTAAAAAAAACCCCAGTAATTTGAATTTTCCTTCATCTGTATTGCCATTTCCTGGTCTTTGCCCATTCTTTATTATAGGCTTTTTTTTTTTTCATTGTTTTGTAGGAGCTCTTTTATACTACAGAAATTAACTCTCAATGAGTTAGTTTTTTTCCTCTTTAACTTTTGTTCTAGGAGTGGAGTTTGATATGCATTTACCTTTTCTCATTCTCCTTTGTTATCTCAGTGATGTACGTTTGTTTAAGATGAGTGACAGGAGGTGGGAACATTTTTGCTATACATATGAAAAAGCTATATAGAATATTGGGTATTGTACCATAAATTGCAAAGAGCCTTGACTTGAAAAAAAAAAAAAAAAAGACCTGGTGTTTATTTTGCTTTACTCAAGCCTATTCAATTTTTCCATTTCCTAAACTAGCTATATTACCCCATACTTCCCAACAGAAAGCTGTTCTTTTCTTCCATAAACATTCATATTTTTTTTTTTAATTTATTTGAGACAGAGAGAATGAGAGACAGCATGAGAGGGAGGAGGGTCAGAGGGAGAAGCAGACTCCCTGCCAAGCAGGGAGCCCGATGCGGGACTCGACCCTGGGACTCCAGGATCATGACCTGAGCCGAAGGCAGTCGCTTAACCAACTGAGCCACCCAGGCGCCCCTAACATTCATTTTTCACTAGTTAAGCCAGTCTAACTACTACTAATCCTCCAAGTATTGTTTAAGCATCATGTAAAGCCCTTCCTGACATTTTTAAAAAAAGATTTTATTTATTTATTTGACAGAGATACAGCGAGAGAGGGAACAAGCAGGGGGAGTGGCCGAGGGAGAAACAGGCTTCCTGCTGAACAGGGAGCCCAATATGGGGCTCCATCCTAGGACCCTGGGATCCTGACCTGAGCCGAAGGCAGACGCTTAATGACTGAGCCACTCAGGCATCCCTTTCCTGACATTTTTAAGCCAAGTTTGAGACTCCTACTCATTCCTTCCATCACACTTTCTGCATATCTTTATTATAGAATTCTCAAATTTTATTGATTTGATTATGTAAGATTGTAAAATTTGTAAGATGTATGATTTTATTGTAAGAATATAATTGAAAAAATTATAAAATTTTAGTAGATGTATTCTTACATGCTATGAAATATTTGAAATAATCAGTATTTTTAGTTGCTAATATATGCAGAAATGACAAAGTACATTTTTTCCCCAGATTTCTTGAGGTTTGATTGACAAAAATTGAATATATTTAGGTTATACAACATGATTTTTTGTAAAAGTATACAACCTGATGATTTAATGCATGTATACATTGTGATGTGATCCTAACAATCAAGTTAATTAACACATTCAGCACCTCACATAGTTACCAAACTTGTATGTGTGTATGTAGGGGGAACACTTTTACCCTCGTAGCAAATTTCAAGTATATAATACAATATTATTAATTATAACCACTGTTAGATCTCTAGAACCTAATTATCTTGTAATTGAAAATTTGTATTCTTTGACCAGCTTTTCCCCATTCCCCCTGTTCTCAGCCCCTGGCAATCACCATTCTATTTTCTAATTTTATGAATTTGAATTTTTAACATTTCACATATAAGTGAGATCATACAATATTTGTCTTTGTGTCTGGCTTATTTCACTTAGTATAATGTCTTCCAGGTTCATCCTTGTTGTAACATGGCAGGATTTTCTTCTCTTTTTATGGTTGAATAATAGTCTATTTATATATTTTTCATCTATCTAATCTACCACATTTTCCTTATCCCATTCATCTGTTGATGGATATGTAGGTTATGTCCTTATTTTGGCTATTGTGAAAAATGCTGCTGTGGATGAACATGGGATTGCACAATCTTCAAGACTGTGCTTTTGTTTCCTTTGGATGTATACTCAGAAGTGGGATTGCTGGATCTTTCAGTAGTTCTACTTTTAATTTTTTGAGGAATTTCCATACTGTTTTCCAAAATGGCTGAACCAATTTACATTCCCACCAACATTGTACAAGAATTCCTTTCCTCCCCCATTCTTGCCAACACTCACCTTTTTTTGATTATAGCCTTCCTAACAGATGTGAGGTGGTATCTCCTTGTAGTTTTGATTTGTATTACCTTGACGATTTAGCAATGTCCAGCATCTTTTCATGTACCTCTTGGCCATTTGTATGTTTTCTCTGGAAAAATGTTTATTCAGGTCCTCTGCCTATTTTTAAATCAGATTATTATTATTATTTTGCTGTTGTGTTATATGAGATTTTTATATATTTTGGATATTCACCCCTTACTGGAAATATGGTGGGCAAATATTTTTTCCTATTTAGTAGGTTGCTGTTTCATTTTGTTGGTTGCTTTTGCTGTACAGAAACTTTTTAGTTTGATGTAGTCCCACTTATTTTTGCTTTTGTTGTTTATGCTTTTGATGTCATATTCAAAAAAATCATTGCCAAGACCAGTGTCAAGGAGCTTTTTCCATATGCTTTCTTCTGTGGTTTTTATGGTCTTATATTAGGTTTTGATCCATTTTCAATTCATTTTTGTGTATAGTATAACATAAGGATAAAATTTCTTTTGCACGTAGATATACAATTTCCTCAACACTTTTTTTTTTTTTAAAGATTTTATTTGTTTATTTGAGAGAGAGAATGTGAGAGAGCACAAGCAGGGGGAGCAGCAGAGGGAGAAGGAGAAGCAGACTCTTCACTGAGCAGGGAGCCTGATGTGGGGCTCAATCCCAGGACCCTGAACCTGAGCTGAAAGGCAGCCGCTTAACTGACTGAGCCACCCAGATGCCCCTCAACACTATATGTTGAAGAGACTATCCCTTCTCCACTGTGTATTCTTGATTCCCTCGTCAAAGATTAGTTGAGTATAGGGGTGTGTTTATTTCTGGGTTGTCTATTTTATTCCACAGATTTATGTGTCTTTCCTTTTTTTTAAAGATTTTATTTTTAAGTAATCTCTACACCCAACATGGGGCTCAAACTTACAACCCTGAGATTAGTCCAGGTGTACCATTATGTGTCTTTTTATGACAGTATTACAGTGTTTTGATTATTATAGCTTTGTAACATAGTTTTAAATCAGGAAGTGCGATGCCTCCAGCTTTGTTCTTACTCAAGATTACTTTGGCTACTTTTGTTTTTCCATATGAATTTTAGGACTGCTTTACCTATAAAAATTGCTACTGGAATTTTGAAATGGATTGCATTGAATCTGTAGATCACTTTAGATAGTAAGGACATTTTAACAGTATTCTTTCAATCTGTGAACATAGGATATCTTTCCATTTATTTATGTTATCTTTAGTTTCTTTAGTGTCTTATAGTTTTCCATGTACAAATATTTTACCACCTTTGTTAAATTTATTCTTAAGTATTTTCTTCATTTAAATACTATTTTAAAAAGAAATTGTTTCTTAATTTTTTTTTTTCAGATTACAGTTTACTTTTGAATTTGATTTTAGGTCTTGCATTTTAGTGTTAGTGAAGTGTGCCTCTGCTGAAATTGTCAAATTAAAAAAATTAATTTTTAAAAAGGACCATATGGTAGTTCATGTTGTTTATTAAATCTATCAGGAAGAGAAACTTTGAAGAATGAAAATCTTTGACATTTTAATTTTTTTTTTTTTTAAGATTTTATTTATTTATTTGACAGAGAGATAGACAGAAGAGCACAAGCAGAGGGAGTGGCAGAGGGAGAGGGAGAAGCAGGCTCTGCACTGAGCAGGGAACCTGATGCGGGACTCGATCCCAGGACCCTGAGATCATGACCTGAGCTGAAGGCAGACGCTTAACCATCTGAGCCACCCAGGCGCCCAGACATTTTAATATTTTTCTACCTCTACTTAAAACTAAAGATTTTGCTAAAATTTGATTTTTTTTTGATAACTTATTTTGATGACTCAGTATTGTAGGGTTATCTCATTACTCTTCATTGTGTCATAGGGCTAGATAACTAATCTTTCTGACTTCTTGAGGAGTTACCGTGGTAGAATTTGCAGGTGCTTAAGGAATGGGGTACAACTTCATATGATGGTGATTGATAGAGCGGAGATGTTCATTTTTCAGGATAGATGTCTTCAGAAAAACCTACCTTAATGAATTACCATGGTTCAGAGTATGGCCTACTGTTTGCAAACTATAATAGCTCCCTGACACTGGTCTTGGCAATGCTTTTTTTGAATATGACATCAAAAGCGTAAACAACAAAAGCAAAAATAAGTGGGACTACATCAAACTAAAAAGCTTCTGTACAGCAAAAGCAACCAACAAAATGAAACGGGTCAGTGTAAGAGATAATCTTAAGGATTGTTTGTATTGACCAAATTTGTGAAACTGATTATAAAATCAGAAAACCCATTTTTTTTTTTTTATCATGAGAAATCTTACTGTCTTGTGCTGGATATTTTCTTATTGGTTCTACTAGTTTATTATATGCGCTAGGGAGATTTATGGGAAGCTAAATTGTAATCTGGGTACTTCTTGGTGAGCATGGAGTCAGAAGAGGAGTTAGTTAAATCATGACAAAATAGTTAAAGATATATGTGAATGTATTTTGAAAGATTTTTTTTTTGCTTATTTTTAATAAGCATTCTTACAAGATTGCTTATCACTTAGGCCAGAAATATGTCTTGACTAATACTTTGATTGTTTGGGAAAATAGTTTTGGATGGTAAAACAAAAAGGGTTATATAAAATTTTCAAGCCATAGTTAAAGTATGTTTTCTTTTTTTTTTTTTTTAATAGTGTAAGACAAATGGAATGCAAGCCTTTTCTCAAGGTCATAATGAACAACAGCAACATCAGTCTCCAGTTAAAAAAGGTAAATTTTTTACCATAATTCCTAAATTTCATAAGGAAGTCTTAGCATTCCTGTTAATAGTTGCCTAGGTGCAAACCTTATGTACATAAGAAATTTTATTATATTCTTCCCATTGATTTCAGTCTATATTAGAAATGCTATAGGTTTGGGGCACCTGGGTGGCTCAGTTGGTTAAGCGACTGCCTTCGGCTCAGGTCATGATCCTGGAGTCCCTGGATCGAGTCCCGCATCGGGCTCCCTGCTCGGCAGGGAGCCTGCTTCTCCCTCTGACCCTCCCCCCTCTCATGTGCTCTCTGTCTCTCTCATTCTCTCTGTCTCAAATAAATAAATAAAATCTTTAATAAAAAAAAAAAAGAAATGCTGTAGGTTTGATTGCTTTACAGGAGAGACCATAATAACAAGATTTAAACAAGATAGGAGCTTATTTCTGTATTTTCTATAACAGCTCATAATTGAGCTGGTGTATTCATTCTGCTCTGGTGAAGTGTTATTGGACTCAATCTCACTGCTTTGCCATCTTTAATGTATGGCTCTGTCTCATTGCCCAAGATGAATGCCTTTCCTCCAGCCGCCATATTCCCTGTCTAGCCATCAGGAAAGAGGTAAGGGGAGAGGTAGTTCTTAAAAGTATGACCATAAGTAGCATCTATCACTTTCACTGAATATCTCATTGGGCAGAACTTAGTCATACTATACAAACCAGACTGGAAATTGTAATCTTCCACTGTCTGGACTGCTAATTCTGTTACTGAAGCAGAAGGGAAGAACTGCTCTTGGGGATAACAAGTAGTCTTTCCCACTAGTTACTTTTTAATAAAATAAAAATTATTAATTTAATTTCCAAATTTTTGTCAGTATATATAATTTAAAATATATGAAAATACTCTATTAGCTTTTTCTTCTAGTATTTAACTCTGTATTTCTAAATAAAATGTTTAAACTGTTTCCAATTTTTTTATTTTTTGATATTGGCCACCTATTTTGGAAAATAAGAACTTAACGTCTTCCACATCAGTTCCCTCACTTCTTTACCCTTCTATCTTCCCTCACAACCATATAGTTATTTCACAAGTTTCAGTTTTAACTGAATTACCACTCTATATAAATACAGTTGCTTAGCCAAGAGGTGCATATCTATTTCATACAATCCATCATTTTTCTTGGAGCTAATGTTTGCATTGTTTTTCTATGCAACTGCTGTTAACTTTTCCCCTTAAATGCTCCAAGAACTCTGTCACACTTACCTATAATATATTTCTTATGCACAAATATATCAGTTGGTATTTTTTTTCCCCCTGAGGAGACTTCTCTTTCAGAATCCTCCATTATCCTGTTCCACTATGGGCTGTTTACTCCTCAGTACTGTTGTCCTGGAATGTATTTTTACTATTATCTTGGGATACCCCATTGTAATTCTTTGGTTTCTTTCTTCTTTTAATTTTCATTTCATTTCATTTCATTTCATTTCATTTCATTTCATTTATGAAAGAGAGCGAGTGTGACCTGGTGGAGGAGCAGAGAGGGAGGGAGAAAGAATCTCAAGCAGACTCTGTGTTGAGTGCAGAGCCCAATGCGGGGCTCAGTCTCATGACACTGAGACCATGACCTGAGTTGAAATCAAGAGTCAGCGGCTTAACCAACTGAGCCACCCAGGCATCTCTTCTTTTTCCTTTTTAAATTGAAGTACAATTCACCATTTAAACCATTTAAAAATGTATAATTTGGTGGCTTTTAGTACAATATTGTACAAACACGACCACTATCTAGTTCCAGAACATTTTTATAATCCCAAAAGGAACCTCATACCCCTTAAGTAGTCATTTTCCATTCTCCCCTTTGCCAGCCACTGACAAACCCTAATTTACTTTTTGTCTTAATGGATATACTTATTCTGAACATCTCCTCTAATGGAATTATATTATATGTGACCTTTTGTGTCTGGCTTCTTTCACTTACCATAAGATTTTCAAGGTTCATCCATGTGTAGCATGTATCAGTACTTCATTCTTCATTCCTTTTTATGGCTAAATGATATTTTCTTGTATTGATATGTCACATTTTGTTTAACTTTCAGTTGATGGACATTTGGGTTGTAAACTTTTTGGCTATTATGAATAATGTTGCTATGAATATTTGTCGTGTTTGTTTGAACACCTGTTTTCATTTCTCTTGGATATACACCTGGGATTGGACTTACCAGGTCATGTGGTAATTCTATGTTTAATTTTTTGAGGAATTGCCAAACTGTTTTCCACAGTGGCTATACCATTTTACATTCCCAGTAGCAATATGTAAGGGTTCCAATTTCTTGATGTCCTTGTTAGGGTCTTTTTAAAATTTTTTTATTTTTTAAATTTTTTAAAAAAGGTTTTATTTATTTGAGAGAGAGAGAATAAGTAAGAGAGAGAGCACAAGCATGAGAACACAAGCATGGGGAGGGGTGGAGGGAGAAAGAAGACTCAGGGAGTCCGATGTGGGGCTCGATCCCAAGACCCTGGGATCATGACCTGAGCCAAAGGCAGACCCTTAACTGACGGAGCCACCCAGGCACCCCTAGGATCTTTTTTTATTATAGTCATTCCAGTGGGTGTGAAGTGGTATCTTGTGATTTTGATTTACATTTCTCTAATGACTAATGATTTTGAGTGTCTTTTCATGTGCTTATTGGCCATTTGTATTTTTTCTTTGGAGAAAGGTCTATCCAAGTCCCTTGACCATATATTAATTGGGTTATTTTATTTTTGTGGTTGAGTTATGAGTTTTGGATACTACACTTTCATTTATTTTCTCTCTGCAACTTCCCTCCCCCCACCTGCATGCTCACTTCCTTTCTTCCCCTCCACACACACACACACGTACGTGTGTGTATATAAGGTATTTGAGATATATATATTAGACCTTTATCAGATATATGATACTAGGCTCTTATCAGATATATACTTATCAGATGTATAATTTACACATATTTTCTCCTATACTAGAGTTTCTTTTCATTCTCTTGATAGTGTACGTATCTGTACAAATTAAAAAAAAATTGATGAAGTCTAGTTTCTTTTTTCTTTTGTTGCTCATGGTTTTGATGTCGTGTTTAAGAAATCATAGCCAAATCTCAAGTCATGGAGATTTACCCCTATAAGTTTTATAATTTTAGCTCTTACATTTAAATCTTTTTTTCCATTTTGAATTAGTTTTTATATATGGTGTTAAGTATAAGCCCAAATTCAATTTTTTTTTGCCTTGGATATCCAGTTGTCTCATCACCATTTGTTAAAGAGACTATTTTTTCTCCATTGGATGATCTTGGCACCTTTGTTGAAAATCATTTGAGCACAGGAGTATGTTTTTATTCCTCGACTTTCAGTTTTTTTTTTTTTTTTTTTTTTTTTTCAGTTTTGTTTTCTTGATGATATGTCTGTCCTATACCGGTACACACTGTTTTGATTACTGTAGCTATATAGTAAGTTTTGAAATTGGGAAGTGTGAGTCTTCAACTTTGTTCTTTTTCAAGATTGTTTTGGTTATTTGGGGTTTCTTGCAATTCTATGTGATTTTTAGGATCAGCTTTCCCATTTCTGCAAAAAAGGCTCCTTTTCTTTCAAAAGGAATTTTGATAGGGCTAATAATAGTGAACTTGTAGATCACTTTGGGGGATGTTAACAATATTAAATTTTTCAGTCCATAAACATGGAGTATATTTCCATTTATTTCAGTCTTTATTTTATCAGTGTCTTGGTTTTCAGTGTATAAGTCTTGTACCTCTTCAGTTAAATTTACTCCTAATTATTCTTTGTCATGCTAATGGAACTGTTTTCTTAATTTCCTTTTGGACTGTTTATTGATAGTGTAGAAAATACAACTGATTTTGTATGGGGACATTGAGCTTACAGAAATAAAAAGGGTTATAAGAATACCCAGTAGTGCAATTGCTGGGTCGTATGGTAGCTCTATTTTCAACTTTTCTCCTGCTGGGTTTAGGCTTTATTTGCTGTTCTTTCTCCAGCTCCTTTAGGTGTAGGGTTAGGTTGTGTATTTAGACCTTTCTTGTTTCTTGAGAAAGGCTTGTATTGCTATATACTTTCCTCTTAGGACCGCCTTTGCTGCATCTCAAAGATTTTGAACAGTTGTGATTTCATTTTCATTTGTTTCCATGAGTTTTTTTTTAATAATTCTTTAATTTCCTGGTTGACCCATTCATTCTTTAGTAGGATGCTCTTTAGCCTCCATGTATTTGAGTTCTTTCCGACTTTCCTCTTGTGATTGAGTTCTAGTTTCAAAGCATTGTGGTCTGAAAATATGCAGGGAATGATCCCAATCAAAAACTAATGATGTAATGTATGGTGATTAACATAACATAATAGAATTAAAAAAAAAAGGATTATAAGAAAATACTACTAACAGTTAAGTATATGGCAACAAATTAGATAACCTAGGTTCAATAGAAAAATTACTAAAAACATAGAAATTAACCAAAACTTCCTTAAGACGAAATAGAGTATCTAAATAAATATATAGCAAGTATGGAGATTGAATTTGTAATAAAAATCTCCTAACAAAGAAAAGTCCAGGACTTGATGGCTCCACTGGTGAATTCTACCAAACGTTTAAAGAAGAATTAACACGACTTTCTCAAACTCTTCCAAAATATTGAAGAGGAACACTTCTCAACTATCCTGTTAGGCCAATATTACTCTGATACCAAAGCCAGACAAAGACATCATATGAAAAGAAAACTACAGCTCAGTAATCCTTAGAATATAGGTACAAAAATACCAGTAAACCAAACCTAGCAGTAGGAAAAAACATCTTTTTCATTCATTCACTTTTAACTTATTGTTGTGATTGGATCTAAAGTGAGTATCTTGAGACAGCATATAATTGGATCATATTTTTAATCCATTCCTCCAATCTCTGCCCTTTAATTGGAGTGCTTATGACTGACATTTAATTGAAATTATTTAATAAGGAAGGACTAATTTCACACATTTTGCTGTTTGTCTTCT